TATATATATATACGCTAATTTTATTTAAATTAATAATGTTATATTAATGTAATGATATTAGTGAAATAATATTACGATTATAATATTAATAATGGTAATATATTAATTTTAATTAAAAATTAATAATGAAATATATTGAATCATTTTACGAAAAAATTTTGAATATTCTGAATACTATTTGAAACTGAAAAGTTATTGAAAATCTAAAAACTCTTGAATATTTTGAAAGATTTGAATATTTTTGAAATATATATTTTCTGTTATAAGACTTTACATTTTCTTATCTCAAGTGGCCTCTTCTTTTATGCAGACACAGATAACGAATTTTTAAGAATTATGATTGCTTTAACGTACATATTCGTGTGCAGCCTTAAGAAAATTTTTTTCCTTACATTTTCAAAAGTTTCAAATATTTGCAACTTTAAAATTTTAAAAAAATTTTTTAAATAATTCATATAATTAAAATGTTCTAAAATTTGAAACAAGACTTTGATTTATTGCTAGTGTTAATCGCTTCATTGTTTCTGAAAAAAATAAAGACGTCACTCAACGTGTACTATGTTAAGAAGAAAATGAAGAGATTATTTACCTGTTTCATGTTGCAGACGCAGATATGGGCATGGGAGCAGGTGCAGCGGGTGGTCCTGTCCTGGCTCTTCCCGGTCCAGGAGTCAATGCCGCCCTTTCACAAACATGCGCCATATGTAGCGATCGCGCTACGGGGAAGCATTATGGCGCTGCATCTTGCGATGGCTGTAAGGGTTTCTTCCGCCGATCTGTCAGAAAAAATCATCAGTACACATGCAGGTATGCTTGTATTATAATATTTTAGCGATAAATCGGTGTTATCCGACACGTATTTTAGCAATCTCGAATTGCAAAGCAAGTGTGATGTAGCGAAGCTTGATTTCTTGAAGATAATATCACCCCTCTTCTTTTTAATACAGATTTCAAAGGAAGTGCCCGATTGACAGGGACAAGCGAAATCAATGTAGGTATTGTCGATTACGGAAATGCTTCAGAGCCGGCATGAAGAAAGAGGGTGAGTTTGGTTTTGCGAAGTCATTTGTCGCGCACTACGAAATTTTGCTTTTAAAAGGCATGGCATGCCTGTTGGATATTTAAGGACACCAATTTCGTCCGAAATTGTTTTAAAACAATTTTTAACAAAATGGCGACCATTTAAGTTACGAAATTTTCGTTGAAAATCTAATCATGACTTTAAAACATCATTTAAGATTAAATTGAGACCAAAATCATTTTTTTCAAATGCCTAGAAATCAAGGAATCATGTCAATCATAAAGTTTATTAAGATGTTTTTATTGTATTATATCTCAACTAGAAATTAATATTTTTAACTTTTTTAAAATATTTTTCGAAAAAATATTATTCGAAATGTTTAATTCGTACTAAATTAAATTGTTAAAGTAAATTATTAATAGCACAATTGCATGCTAAAGACAATTTATTTTTCGACCCGTCACTCTGGTGTCCCTTCTGTTGCTTAATATGTGTGAGAAAGAACATTCGATTTAAAAACTTTTTTTATGCGGAACTAATTTTTACAGTTACATTTTCTTTATTTTTCTGCTCGACGAGTAGAGAGCTTATGTTAAAAATTCCTGATAATTTTCACAGCCGTACAAAACGAAAGGGACCGGATAAGTTGTCGGCGACCTAGCACTGAAGATCCGCCTGATAAGAATAAGGGTCCGTCGAAAGAGGACGTGGTGAAGGCGGATGCACGCGCTGAAATGCTCAGCAAGCATGTTGGTGGGTTAGAGGTGAGTGACCTGACCTTCGGTTAAATTAAATATTTATATATTGCCATTCGTTAAAATACGCATAAAAATTCGACGCATTGTTTAATTGTCACTGCTCACTTCCATGAATATCATGCGCTTAGCAGTTCTTGTTATCATTCGTCAAACGAGCGTTATAAAATTTTTTGAATTGAATTCTTAAATTCGACGACGATCGAATATACTTCATTTCTTATTTTGAAAATGAAACAGTAATAAAATGAAGTTATCATGCTTATAAGCTTACAGTTAAATGCGTTTACCCAAAGAATATAATTTTTTAAACATTCTTTTTTAAAATTAACGATGTAAATTAATTATTATTAGATAAAAAAAGAAGTAATATTTTTCTGTTTACGTTAAGATTCACTCATCATTATTATGATTATGACGTTAGAAGCGAGAAAATGCACAATAAAAGTTCTTGCAAAATATTGCATTAATATGGAAATATGTTAATAAAACAATACTTTCAATTCATACAGCTTCAGCAGCCAGAAAGTCCGAATTGCGAAATTGATCTCAGCACGAAACGAATAGCTGGGATAAACGACGTGTGCGACAGCATGAGGGAACAATTATTGATCCTGATCGAGTGGGCCAAGTGCTTCGACGAATTCAAAGCGCTGTCACTGGATGATCAAGTAGCGTTGCTGAGGGCCCACGCGGGCGAGCACCTGTTGCTGGGGGTAGCTAGGCGTAGTAGAAACTTCACGGACGTGCTACTGCTCGGCAACGATTGCATCATTATGAGGAATTGTCCTGGTATGCAGAGTTTATAGATTTATTATGGGTGTCACGGTTTTTTTTGGCCTTAAAATTTTTTCTTCTCCGAGCAGAGCAAGCAGTGTCGAGCGACAATTCCAATACGCGTGTATATCTGATAAAAACCTGACAAAATATGTATACCTGAGAATTAAGTACGTGTTTTTGAAAAGAGAAGGCGACTTCTTAAGTGATGAGAGAATTCAATTCAAAAAATGATCTTTAAATGCTCAATATTATTGTACAATTATTTTGTACAATATTATTAATGCCCTCTTTGAACATTTCAAAATAAACAGTCTGAAGGCACAACAAAGCCTTCAATCATTCAATAATTGTAAAATATTAAATATTGTACAATAATATTGATGCTTTAGGAATCGCTTAGCATTTTCAGAAGTCCACCTCTTAGTCTCGGTTTGTCAAGACACATGAATGCATATTGACAAAGTTTCATAAGTACGTTCGACATCAACCTACGCTCCGTTCAAGCTTATTGCTAACATTTATATGGCACGTTTTGGCTTTGCTAAATAATGATATTAAATACATAACAATGGAACGTGTGCATATGGGCGAAATGGGGGATATGCTTAAAAATTTTCTGAGATTGATAATACTCCTTTTTGGATTAAAGTAAATACGAGAGGTGAATATATTAAGCAAATCTTGATTAGTTTTTTTCTGGCGTGCGTTACGTAAACGAATCCATCGTGTCTCTCTTTATGCATACCATCTGCAAAATACAGAAATTAATATGAATACGAAACGTTCAAATAATAAATAATAAATAGGAAGAGAACGATTTTATAAGTCTACTGCAATGGGAAAGACATTTCTTCATTTAAGATTTTTGTTTTTTTATTGCAACTAAATTGAAGAATTACATTTCGTATGTTAAAATAGATTAATTTTTTCGGTAAAATGTACCATAAATTCTTCTTATTAAGTCATATACATTAAAAATAATAGATACATTAAAAATAAATAGATGAAACAAGAATTTGCCTTTTGTTTTTTTTAATAAGCTATTATAGATTTGAAAAGATTGATCTTTACTATATGTAAATATACATATAAGCATTTCCCGCACATAAAACGTATTGGAAACGTTCCAACAGCATGAATATGTGGTTTCTTATCAAGCGAACAAAGATATCTTGACTACCATCGACAAAAGTCGTCAATATTAGAGCGTCCTTTTGCGCAGTCTGTGTCAGCATATTTTTCCAAGAATCGTGTACGCTTGAAAGAGAGTCTCTTCTTCTAAATAACCGATTCGATGGCAACCTTCACCTTTTCGCTTACGTAATTTCGTCGTTCATGTATATGTGTCGCCGATACCACGATTTATTCGACAGCCGAGCGCTTACGTGACGCGACGCTTTCTTCAAAACGTTATATCCCGTTTCACCATGATCCCGTAATAAAACTGTATAACCACATATCAATTTTAACTAATGATTTCATCCATTAGAGAAGGAGAAGAATTTCTTGAATGAAAAACACAGCTAGAGAGCTAACGATTACTTTCATTCGTTTATAAATAGTTTTCTTCTCAATAAATACGTAAAACGCGCCAACAATTTCATAATATTCTATGATATTTTTATATTTTATCGTAAACACGTAGGTCTTTCCTCGCATATTGGATTTATTTGGTGAGTCGTGAGATATAAAAATACCTCTTGAATATAAAATTTCTCTACCGTTTTCCTCTATTTCCTTCCCGAATATGCCAAATTTGAGATTATGTTGCGATTATTTTAATATTTGATTATGTTTCCATATTAGTGTAAGTTTTAGATTTACGTAATGTGTTATAAATATACACGTAATTCTAACCGCCTTATGCGTTTTTGTATAAGAAGCACGAAATTATTGAATGGGAATTAATTTTATTTAAACTCCTGAAACTTATTTACATTGACATCTGATTGTTACAGAGAGAGATTTTGCTGAAGTATCTAAAAATTTAAATACAGATATGAAAATAATTTTGGCGGAGCATCAAAATAATTATGTAAGACGCTTAAACTAGCTGCTAGAATGTCAAAATTTTTTGTGATCTTGCTCATCGTACTTGAGATTTCTATGCAATTATTTTAATAGCCTAACAAAATTATTTTTATATCTACAGCCAAATGTTTAGATATTTTAGCAAAAACATACTTCCATCACGATGTATCAATCTAATTGCTATAAGTCGGAATAACTTTGTAAAACAGATGATTCTCGTAACGCAATATTTCTTTTTGTTCAAAATTTAACAATTTATTACATTACAAGAATAAATTGTTGTGACGTATTATGCGATCAAATAAAAGGAAAACGTCATGTTACGTCATCTATCTGTCGCGAGCTAATATTTTACAATGTAAAACATTTTTGGACGATATGTTATCTTTCTTTGTTATTAACTTTATACTTAATGGAAGAAGGCTTGATGTTGAGGGTCACGCGCAAAGCGACTCATTGAATTTGAAATCTTTTTAATTACGATATATGCGCGAGTAACTAATCTTATCATATTTTGTCGACAATTAAATTTATTGTTATTCCTCAGCGCAAAGTTGAGCGAGTACGAGTATCTGCAATGAACGATATATTTGAATAAATTATCGAATCTTAATATTCGAAGAATCGAATTTATCCGAATCTGTAATTTTTTCAGCTACATTCGTAGTCCTAATTCATATCGCGAAAATTTGTGCTTACTTTATAATATAATAATGAATCGCACAACGCGCTGATAATTTATTATTTTATTAACTAAATGTTTCGTCTATTTTTGTTGCACGATTATGGGGCTTAGGTAGTTGACTGAGTCCGGAATTCGTGTGTTGAATATGTCACTTTAAAATGCATGTCAATGCATGAACATCAATGTTTGGTTTGGCGACACCTATTATAAGTTGGTGCAGAAAGTCCTTAAGTATTTATCCATCCATATTTATATCAAATATAAGATCAAAAATAAATTTACAACAAATTGCTCATTTTTCATCCAAGAAAAAAAATTTCAATTTTTTAATTCCCTTTCAAGAAATTTAAAAAATAAGATCTTTATTTATTTGTTATGAAATTTGACGGAGGAACGAATCTTTTGCACCGACTTACAATTAATATCTGCAAGGCGCAGGTATTCTTTTTTCCTTTTTTTGTTCCACACCGGACTCAGTTTCTATGGGATAAACGAAGGAACAACGGTGTAATCGCGTCTATCAGTAATATCGTTGCAATTTGTAGAAGGTAGCAATCAGCAGGACAACCTGGACATCAGTAAGGTGGGCATCAGGGTAATGGACGAGCTGGTGAAACCGTTTCAGAAGATCAAGATCGACGACACGGAGTTCGCTTTTCTCAAAGCCATCGTGTTCTTTGACCCGAGTGAGTTCCGTTTATAAATTCGAAGGATCACCACGTGACAATTCAATGATCACGATTTGCAACGCGGAATCAAATGGAATAGAAAATATTACCAATAGATGCAATAAATATGTACTGTTAATGTAGATCGAACACGATTCGCTCGCCACAATCTCTACGTTCTTGGTAATCAATTCGGTCTCGTTGAGGCAATCACGTCTCGCGGTTTCACCAGGCTTTTATAAACGACGCAAATCATTGCTTATTTATAGATATCAGTGATACAGAGAGAAAAAATTGCATATCCCAACTCACGTTGATGCATCGAGATTTAATAAACCGATTAATTTACAATAGTATTACATCATGATATCTTTATTCAAATATTACGTTAATTTATAATTAACGCGATTCAAAGTTGAGAATCGTGGCGATTGAATTCTTGATTATGTATGTCATTTTTCGATAATATTCTACTAAAGATCGACAGTTCTTCTGTCGAAAATCGATTACTAGTATCGAAATTGTTATTTGTAATGCATTCTTTAAAAGAAAAAAAAGTCGTTGTTATCTGATCTCTTTGCTGAAGATTTCTTTTCCAAATCGGAGAAAATAAACACGCGCATTTAAAAAAAAAGGGTCATTAAAATCTTGAGCGGTCAGCTGAAGATTTTTTCCATCAGCTGGAGAATCGGAGATTCCTTTAAAAAGCTAATTTCTAGCCGAAAATCATAGAGTTGGCAATCGTAATTTAATAACAATTGAGCTTCTTCCTTATATATTCCCGTATTTTGCAGACGCGAAAGGACTGAGCGATCAGAAGACAGTTCGAGAATTGCGCCACAACATCCAGATAAAGCTCGAAAATCACATCAGCGATCACCGCTGCGATTTACCAGGTCACTTCGGCGATATCTTGTTGATGTTACCAGCTCTACAGTCGATCTCATGGCAGATGGTCGAGCAGATTCAGTTCGTTAGGCTGTTCGGGGTAGCACACATCGATAATCTACTTCAGGAAATATTCCTGGGCGGTACCACGTCGGAGATGAATGGCACTGCTACGCCCTTACCGATCTCGAATACTGCGCCGGGCAGTTACATGAGCAGCAATGAGAGTCCCAGCAGCCCCTTGACGCCGGCGAATACTGGTGACTTGAGCCCGCAAACCGATCAGATGCCCGTCATGATTCTGAGGGATCTCACACCGAACCAGGACTTCAGATACTTCAAGCAGGAGCCCAGCCTCGAGCCTGAGACCAGCTTCTGACTAGCTTGGGGAACTGAGCTCATCGTTGGATAATCAACGACGTTCTGCTCAAAAATTGTTGCTCAATTAACAAAACAGCTCGTATTATGTTAGTCGAATCAAATGTGATTGTTGATCCGAAAAATAAGATGAAGTGAAAGAAACGAAAGATCGATATATGTTGTGCAACATATGAGAGGAGTTAGCGCGAAAATATTCAGATTTATACGATTGTAATTTAACGGTGCGGCGGTGATTACGTTTTCTAGTTGTGGTTCACGATTAGCCAAAGCCTGCTCACTTGTATAGATAACGATTGATCGCTAATCAAGATGAATGTGATAATTTGATAAGCGATAAAATCGTGTCTTGCCACTATTTTACTTGCTATTACTACTGTCGCGACAGTATTCGGATCGTTTCTAAAAGAAAACGAGGATAACACGTGTACTACAATAATAATCGCAATTGACAATAATAATCCCTAGGTAGCATTGAACATTCCCAATCAGCCAAGTATGTTGAAAAAGCTTTATCAAAGCATCAAATTTTGTCAGCCGAAAGATTACAAATCTGACGTAGAATTATCTGTTACATCAGATGTTCGCGTTGTGCGACATCAAAATGCCACAAAAAAATGTAATTGCAATATTGCTGAAATGTTCCATGCTATCTTGATCATTAGCGACTAATTTGGAGCAGGGATTGAAACCGATGCAATTGAGATGGGTTTCTGTTTGTAAAAAGTATGCAAAAGGAAGGATTCCTTGCTTTATCATAATTAATGCAGCGTTTTTATTGTGTAACTAATATTAATAAGGATCGATTTTCTGTGTCTTACGATGTCGAAATTCGAATCACCGAAATAAGGTCGGTTTCGAACCCTGATTTAGAGAATAGAAAGTAAGTCATATCCGATTATTATATTTTTATACATAGAATTAAGTTTGCAAATCGAGTTAAGTAGACGGAAATAATAGGAAACATCAAACATTGATGTAACGAGAAATACATATATATATATTTTTTTCTATTCTGTTCAGTCAAAAATTGGATGAACAGCGTTGTAATTCGTGATGTAATGTAAATAGCATGATACTGCAACGTATAATAATATATATAACATTCCAAGTATAGAAGTATCGAAGCAAGCGTTATAGATAGTCTTCAAATAGCTGATGGGACGCGCTAACGTAATTATCGAATGCGGGTCCCCTGCAAAATGAAAAGTGCGCCATTGCAATGCAATTTACCGTTAGTAACAGTAGTGATGAGGAGTGCACAGGTGTCAGCCATTTTGTGTATGCGAATGCCGAGCAGTAAGCAAACACGACAGCTGTACCTAATAAAAAAAATGGCTAGTGCATCTTGGGTGCTTTCGAACAAGGAACACACGTGACACGGTGTGACACAGTGCATCATTACATCCTTGTTGTTTATCAATGTTAAACAAGGATAAGATGATCATCACGTGTTGTATTGAATCGCTTGTTAGAAGGCACCCCTTATCGTGGTGTTAGTCTTTAGTCTCATTTTAAAATGTCAATGCTGACATATATGGCCGGATAGAAAGCAATAGCATAATAATCGGATAACAAGTAAAGTTAACGAGGTAGAGAAGTATGAGTACAGATTATTATGAGTAATACAAATACACGTCTATTGTATAAACATGCATCGATCGCATAATGATTTGAGTTATAATTTTTACAAAGTTATAATTATGCGAGAACAATTGTGAACCATGAGAAAATTTCGTGCGAATATGACGGACTAGCGAATCGCTTCCATTTTTGAAAGCATCCGATTTGAAAAGCTATTACGAACAAATCTTGATCTAAAAAAATTATGCAACGTATATATGCATTAGATAATAAAAATTTGCAAATAATTTTATTTGCAACTGTATATTTTCTTTGTTTATATAAATTCAACTAATTTGACTTTTGCTTGTTGCAATAATTTTATGAATATATTTGCATTATATTCTGTATGATTTCTCATGACATGTATCCAGTGTCAAACATATACATATATATCTATAAACGAAAAGAAGTTTCACAACACATAGTACTATATAAAAGACATGTTTTAATATAAGTAGATATCGCAATTAGTCCGGCAAACATATTTTATATTTTTGTACGAAGAGTTTAATAAATATTAATGTTTAATGTTAAATATAAATTAGTGCAAGAAGAAACGCGCGTGATTTCATTGTTAATAATAAAACTATATTCCACTGGTAAGTGTAATATATATTAGTGTTTCATTGTATATGTCTAAGATATTTTAACAGTTTTTAGTCATGGGTTGTGAAATAGATATTATTACCTTTTGTTGTATGATTCTTTATATATTGTTGACAGTTCGAATGTGACTGATTCCATACGAGATACGTATGTATATATTATATATATAAATAAAATTTTTATTTGTTATTTAATAAGTAATAAGTTACACAGATATATATTTGTATCTTTAAATAAAGGGGATAGTTTTAATGTATAAAACAATAAATTTTATTTAATATTACACAATCGCGTTTATTATATTAATCACTCGTATAAAAAATTATATCGCACAAATATATAATTATACTACTTTATATTTGTTTTATCATATATACATATATCGTATGCAGTGCACTTTTTAATCCAATTCATAATCCGTTCGTTTTCGTTTCTTAAGATTCACGGCGCTCTGTGAAGTTTCAATAGTGCATGAACCTTTTCTTAACCATTCGTTCAATTGCACCTTGGCCTTCCTGCCTGTGACAAACAAGTCTCTCTCTAATCTTGGCAGTAAGCTGTTAAGCATAGGATCAGAAACAGGATTTTGTGCCCAGTCCATAATCAATCGAAATCGCGATCTGAAAGTCTGAAAAACACAGAACAATTAAACAATGAATGCGAATTAATGAACAGCTTAAAGTTAATAATTACTAATAGCAAACTTACTAATAGCAAACTATCAATTATCATTTCGCAATCACGATTGTTGAATTTCCTCAAATACATTCCTAGTTCGTAATAATATGGATTCCATTTATTCAGTACAACGGTACAAGCGTCTGCTAATAAAATTTCTCTATAATCAATATGAGAAGCAAACTATTAGAAAATTTACCTTAACAGAAATTAATTCTATTACGCATATACAAACTAGTACAAACCTATAGCCCTCCTTGTATGTTTTGGGGATGTCTACACTGACTATTGATTCTCTTACTTTATTTAGTGGTTGTGCTAACCACAATGGAAGTTCCAACTTCGCACCTGGTTTTAGATCCTCTGACTCAGAGGATAGATCTAGGAAACCTATATATGCATAATACAATACAATGTAAAACGATCATATGTATAAAAACAAACTCCTATTTTCTATGCAAAACAAATATAACATGAGGAATCAAATATTTGATGTTTAGAATAAAATTAATTATGTTTAATTTTCTTGTAACTTTTATTATAATTATAAATTAAAAATTTAATTAATAACTATATTATTGTAAAAACTATGCACAATTATGTAATATAATATTTATAAGAAATAAATTCCTATTTTTTACACAATAAATAACATTAACATAAGGAATAAAATATCCATCTAGGAAAAATTAATTGATAATTTTATTGCAGCTTTAATTTCAAATTAAAATCTTAATTAATAGTGTATTACGCAGAAATGCTCCGTTTTGTGAATAAAAGAAATACAATTCCGCTTGTTTTTGTTATAATGTTACATTTAAAACTAATAAACAAGTCTGTTTTAATAGAGAAAAGATGTAGTAAAGTTTTGATAAGCTTACCTAAGCGAGGTAACGTAACTTCTATCTTGCACGATATTCGTTCTTCCGTACACAAAATATCCGTTAGGGAAAAATAATCCGGCACATAACTGTAAGACAACGTCATTCTGCCTCTTCCAATATTGTTTTGAAAATCTCAACAGTCTCCGTCATTGCATCTGATTTCCACTACTGATCAGCGCCTCTTACGAAATGATATTGCATTTCTTTACTTCTCCTTTTTTCCTTCTCCTTTAATAAGAAACGCTGATTATAACATTGAATGGTAATGTAGGAAACACATCAACTTTTTACCTACATCGAGAACCTTCAGATACTTTTATGCATGTATGTGAAGTTAGCGCACTAAGAGCAGCACTTTTTGAATTTTATAATTTCATTGTGTTTAATTATACTAGGTTTGTGCTAATTATGTAATTTCATTCCATATTTCAAAAAATAAAAAAAAAGTATAATTTTTACAGCTCCGCACTTTATGAATTTTGAATTTTCTTTAATTGTATTGAATTACACTTTTTTATACAAAAGTGAAGACAATAGTTTAAAGTTTAAAGTACAATTGAATAAAGTTATTTGAATCAAAGTACGGTAATTCTATGAATGCGGCAAATTTAAACCAGCTATCAACATCTTTTCTACTATATTTCACCGCATTTCTCTAAATAAATTTAACTTGCTTGGAGCAGATATTTTAATTTTGTTCATATCTACGAATAAGAATTTTTATTTTAAAAATATTATAAAATATTCTTATATAAGTAGAATATACATATGTATCTTATCTCGTACTCTTATAAATGATTAAACTTATAACAAGTAAACATCAAGAAAATAAGTCTTAATAAAGGTACAGTTACAGTCGTTAAGACCCAGTAAACGATAGATAAAATAAATTGAAATGGATTCAGATTTTCAGAAATATTAATTCACGAATGTTAAAATGAATACTTTTCAATCCTGAATGCATTTTTATTTATTTATAGGAATTGCATGGAGCATATCTCTATGCTTTTCAATCTAAAAATAATATTAGCTTTTTTTGTGAATACTGTTCAATTCAAAATTTTGAGTAGAAAATGCAGTTTTTCGATCCAATTGCATCGAATTGAATCTAATTAAATCCAATTAAATAAAAAAAAAAAAATACAAAAAAATTAAATACAAAAAAATATATTTGCTATTTAAAATACGCATCGGATAGAAAAAAATTTCAATCCACTTTAATCCATTCTTTGTTTGTCGGATATAAAATAAATAAACGTACTTTTATTAAAATAGATTCGAAATAGATAATTTATATTAGCAATACAATTATCTACTTATTTTTTATCACTTTCATCAATAATTATACGATCAAAAATCTTCCTCAAGTTGCTAATAAACGGTGCGAAAGGTAATATGTCACTGAAAAATTTACTATTCAGCTTTGATATTATATACATATCTATAGAGTATATAGAGGGTGTCTCGCAATTCGCAAGTCAAAATATCATAGCAAAAAAATTTTCGAAAAAATAAGTTATAAATACATTTATTGTTTGTCGTTCTAAAAAATAATTTTAAACATATAGGTTTAAAATTGGCAAATTATAGATTACGGTTAATCGGTCACCTGCTCATGAGTCACACAGATAACACACTACATGCGCTTACAGATATTAAATAAAAGAATGTGCAACGCAGTAATGATATATGCAATATTTGTTTTAAAGTTATTTGTAAATAGTGTTAACAAATAATTGTAATGCGATTAAAAAATAACTATAATTTATCGAAATTATATCGCTTATTTTTTATTACTTATTAATTGACAGTCAATAAGAGATGCATACCTATATACATATTAACAAAATTGAATAGTTGCAATCAAGTGATATATGTACGGATTATTATTTTATTATAATAATTATAATTTTTTAATATCTTATACATTTATTCTTTAATTTTCTCTTTAGCCTTTGATTAAACCGATATACTATATTTATTAATAAATTCTTTATTACTTATTTATTTATTCTCTCAAAGTATCAACATTATTATTATTATTTAATATACATATATATATTATATTAGGTATCCCAAAATTCGCTCAAAATACTATAACAAGAATACTATAGACTTGAAAAATTAAGTAGAAAAATTATGTGTAAATATTTATTTAAAATAGTGTTTTTTTTTTAATGTAAGGGCATAAATAA